TATATATATATATATATATATATATATATATATATACAACATAGCAGTAATATCACTATTCCTGTTTATAGTAAACTAAAATGAAGAGTTCTATGTCTAATCTTAGTTTTCCCTTAGTTTAACTCAATATTAACGCCCCGATTTATTTCAGATATTGCGAACAATATGAATCTAATTAGTAAATTAAATGTAGCTATGAAACACTTAATAATCCTTAATAATCGTATCATTGCTTCGAATTAAATTTTTTTTTAATGAAGCTAATAAGAATATGGTGTATAAGCAAAGTCCAGGATTTGTTAGTTTAAAAAGGTGCCAATTTAGATGGATACAAACGTTGGCACATTTTTCCAAGATCTAAAATCTATGACATTTATCGTAAGTGATAGAGGTTAATTTGAGAATAATTAAAGTGTACCTCTCGCTATAGAGTGGTTAGAAGCATATATAGACAGATTGGTCTCTCCACTTGAAGTCACTTGCGTGATTAGAGTTAATTGCATTTGCAAGCCACCACTAGTGGATCGAGTGATTTTGACGAGAAAAAAAATCGGCCATCCGTTCATGAGAATCAAGAGGCCTGCCTTGTCAGTTTATCAATAATACCTGGCTAGATCATTAGTAAAAGGATGTATTATGAAGACATATAAAGTATCAGCATAAAAAGTAAACAGGATGGTGTCGAGGCTTTAAGATAAAAGGAGGCCTATTCTTTAAGGATGATTAACGAGAAGAAGCAAAATAAGATTCCATCCAAATCAGAATTTATGAGTAATTATGCCTTGTGGTTCAGGAAATCAATTTCTCCTTCCAATATCAAAAAAGATGCAACATTTCTTACTCGAAGTAAATTTTTATTTCGAATCGAGCCCATGACCAAGTTGGTGAGATGCTCGATTAGCCCACTTGATGTAGTGGCCGGACCATTGCAGAAGCCAGTTATCTGGCTGGTGGGATCACCCTTAATAGTGAGCTCACCGCAGAGGTTTCTGCACAACATAGCCCGGCGCGTAGCCAGATCTGTCCACTCGTCTTTGGCCAGCACGTAAGCAAGTTTGGCCAGAGCTGCTTCAGGTGTCATATCCTTCAAATGGATAAGGCGATAAAGGAAAAGTTTAGATGTACATGCTTGCAAAATTGTAAACTTTAAACAAAATATGCCTTAAAATACAGCATGATCGAGATAAAAAACAAAGATTGGGATCTCATACGATTAAAAAAAAAGAAGCAGTATCCCATAAAAAACAATGAATCTAAGAAAATTGAATAAAAAAAAGGCGTAACAAAGCATATACAAGTTGGACAATTATAGACATTTAGGCGGAAATTAGATACTATTTTGAGTATTTGTTAATGGACTCAATGTCATGCATATTTATAGGTCTTTACATTATCAATTAGGTAATGGCTTGCGATAAGAGTAGACTTTATATTGGTATAAAGATAAAGAAGCTACCACATAAGGATGTAGGCACTTGATAGCTCATGGTTTAAATCAGTGCTTTTAAGCGAGAATATGGCCCTACTAGTGATATCATGATACTAAAGTCAGTATGACAAGCTTAACGTGGCAAGCTTAACCTCGCAAGTCGTTAAAGCATTAAGACCTTCTTGCATCATAAAATGAATGTCTAGTCAAAAAGGATAATATTTGCAGAAAAGGAACCCATGGGGAACCGTAATGTGTCAAATATGGAAAGGAATCAAAATGCTCAT